GAAGGTGAGGTGGGTGGGGAGGTGGGGTGTGAGGGGTGGGAGGTGGGGGGGAAGGAGGGAGGTGGTGGGAGAGGGAGGTGGGAGGTGAGGTGGTGGGAGGTGAGGTGTTGAGGGAGGTGGTGGGAGGTGAGGTGAGGAGGTGGTGGGGAGGTGAGGTGGAGGGGAGGTGAGGTTTTGAAGAGGTTAGGTGGTGATGACAGACAGACAGACAGACAGACAGACAGGTAGAGTATTCTGACACGCTGTCCTTGTTGTAAACAGTGTGTGCCCCGCCCCTCACACAGTATCCTTGTAGCTTCAAGATGAGATAATATCACTCATAATAATTGATACTGGAGGAGGTGGAGGTAAGGATTGTAGTGAACACTTGTTAGCACGAGCGTGGAAGTGTAATGAGGAAGGAGGGGACGGGAGCGGGAGAAAAGAGGGGGCTGGTGGGGGAGGATGGGGGGCTGGAGGAAGGAGGAGGATCGGGAGGGGGAGCGGGAGGAGGGGTGAGGCCCATGTAGACGTCAGAGAATAAGTGTGGAACAACTATACAGGTCGTGGTGTCAGTTATCAAGAGGCTGATCCTGGGGTGTGATGAGCTACATACTAACAGTTGGATGACAAAATGTTTTTTTTTTATCTGATCCACTCAGTAAGGGGCGAGTGTATGTATGTTTGTATGTCCTCAGCATCACTCCTCGCCATTCAAGTCTCTCTGTATAGAATTTGGCACAGAGACTGGACGTGACTGCCAAACGAAGCATTATAATTCTGCCTGGAACATTATGACCTGTATCCGGCTTATAAGTAGGGAAGCTAAATTAGGTTCGTTATAGTTTTCAAGCGTTTTCAACCATATTGAAAAAAAAATAGAAAATAAACATTAAATTAGACAATTGTGAATGAATGACTTTAAATTTGTGATCACTTTCGAAATATTGTATTGTATTATTATTATTTGATTACTTGGATCATCTGAAGATCAAACATTCCCAGCTTATTCCACCTGAAGGTTAACCACCCTAACGCTAACATAACCTAATTTAACCTAACGCTAACTTAACTTAATCTAACACTCCTGGTTAGGGTGATTAATCTTCGGGTAAATTAAGCTGGGTAGCCTAATCTTCAGGTGATAGGATTACTCTTATCAAAGCAACGCGGTGGTGTGTGCGTGTGATGTGACCAGCAGAGTTAAGCACCTTAGTTTGGCTCCTACCTGATTCATTAGTGGCTCTTCCTGTCCCGAGGAAACCTTGTCAGGTGATATCAGGTCACAGTGAGGGAGGTCACGTACAGTGAGAGAGGACACGTACAGTGAGAGAGGTCACGTACAGTGAGGGAGGTCACGTATAGTAAGAGAGGACACGTACAGTGAGAGAGAGGACACGTACAGTGAGGGAGGTCACGTACAGTGAGGGAGGTCACGTACATTGAGGGAGGCACACAGTGAGAGAGGACACGTACAGTGAGGGAGGCACGTACATGAGGGAGGACACGTACAGGAGGGAGGACACGTACAGTGAGGAAGGACAAGTACAGGGAGAGACACGTACAGTGAGAGGACACGTACAGGAGGGGAGGACACGTACAGTGAGGGATGACACGTACAGTGAGGGAGGACACGTACAGTGAGAGGACAGTGAGGGGAGGACACGTACAGTGAGGGATGACAAGTACAGTGAGGGAGGACACGCATAGTGAGGGAGAGCAGAGGAGGACACGTAGTGAGGAGGACACGTACAGTGAGGGGAGGACACGTACAGGGGAGGGGAGGACAAGTACAGGGAGGGAGGACAAGTACAGAGGGGAGGACAAGTACAGTGAGGGAGGACAGTGAGGGAGGACACGTACAGGAGGGAGGACACGTACAGTGAGGGAGGACACGTACAGTGAGGAAGGACATGACAGTGGAGGAGGACACGTACAGTGAGGGAGGACACGTACAGTGAGGAGGACACGTACAGTGAGGGAGACACGTGAGGGAGGACACGTACAGTGTGAGGGAGGACACGTACAGTGAGGGAGGACACACAGTGAGGGAGGACACGTACAGTGAGGGAGTACAGTGAGGGAGGTGAGGGACACGTACAGTGAGGGAGGACACACAGTGAGGGAGGACACGTGTAGTGAGGGAGGACACGTACAGGAGGAGGACACGTACAGTGAGGGAGGTGACAGTGAGGGAGGACACGTACAGGAGGGAGGACACGTACAGTGAGGGAGGACGTACAGTGAGGAAGGACATGTACAGTGAGGGAGGACATGTACAGTGAGGGAGGACATGTACAGTGAGGGAGGACAAGTACAGTGAGGGAGGACAAGTACAGTGAGGGAGGACAAGTACAGTGAGGGAGGACACGTACAGTGAGGGAGGACACGTACAGTGAGGGAGGACACGTATTATATTTAAAAAAAATTCATTACACCCAAAAGCATGGCCAAATTATGTCATATTTCTTATTCTATAAATGTTTGCTATGTCTTCTGGTTGTTGGTCTGTTATAAACGTCTCCAGTTGATTTTCTATTGACGTACAGTATTATTATATCAAGTATTCTCCTCGGCCTCTTTCTGGTGTCTACTGAGTGTCCACCTTCTGACCCACACAGCAGTACTGTTCATGCAGCTTTACTGTCCATACAACGTTACTGCCCATGCAACAGTACTGACCATACAACAGTACTAACCATACAACATTACTGTCCATACAACGTTACTGCCCATACAACAGTACTGACCATACAGCAGTACTAACCATACAGCAGTACTGACCATACAACATAACTGGTCATACAACAGTACTGACTAAACGGCGCATTTCAGCAGCCTTTTACATCTAAAAAAAAAACACTGTTACTTCTCAATTACACAATTTTTCCACCTGAGTTCTTCATTTGGAAACAATCATTATTTCCGTCTTTACAGTATTAAAACTATGCTCATCTTCTCTGTCTTTACCCACTAATCTGTTGACCAGTTTTTATATTGAGAGGATAAACGGAGGAACTAATTAGCGCGATGTAAGGCGGTGTGTGTGAGTGTGAGGGCGGGCACTGAGGGAGACGTGTAAGTCCTATTAACTTGTGAAGATGAATCGATATTAACCGTTGTAATAAGTTAAGGATTTACATAGTCCTTCAAATTAACAGCTGCTGAGGATATGGTTGAGAATTCCTTAGGTATCAATGATAAGGATTATGATAAATTATAAATACATCTCGGAGAATATTTGCATCACCTGAAGAATAACACTCCAGCTTATTTCACCTGAAGCTTAACTAACCACTTTAACGCTGCCTGGAGGGGTTAGAGTTTAGGTTACTCAGAGGAAATAAGCTGGGGTGCCTAATCTTCAGGTGATCCATTGTATCCTGGAGTGTCAATCAAAATAAAGGTTTTTATAAACGTAAAATTTAAACTAAGGTAAAAGAAAATTTATCTCAAGTGAGTTGATTTCCATAGTGTGAGATGATCTATCAAAACAAACTAAACTTAATCTAATCCACCTAAACAAACATAACTTAGTCTAATTTACCTCTTCTAAGATAACCTGACTACATTACTTCAACAAAACAATCGTAACCTAAACAAGTAATTGCAACCAAACGTACCCAACCTGACCTAAACAATCCCATCACCACACCTTCCCATCTAACGTGAATCAAAATATGCTTAATATTCTACATTTCACGACACAACACAGCACAATCACACCTAACCCCACCGTACATGTATATTTGGTCACCCCGACACCCCAACAGACCTCGGAACTCTATATAAATAAACGCTAGAGGTTTTAAAATAGAACTCAATACCTGGGCTGAGGGGAGTGGTGTTTAAGGCGTTTTACCCACACGAAGTTTAGAAGTTTAGTGATGTAGAGTTTAGTTTGCGTGACGGTTTGTTTCTCTCAGCTGCCAGATACTAATGGCCACACTACGAATGCGAGGATGAGTAACCTGTTTTGGTTTTAGATGGAAGATAATGATAAGAACAATAACGTGTTTATATTGGAGTATCAGCGAGATTGACTTAGGTCCACTAATTAGTATCAGAGCTACACGAATTTGCTAGTGATGTCTATTTTCATGGGTAGTTACGTATTTTTTCAAGGCTAGTTATGACTTTTTCATGGCTAGTTAGACCTGCTTTATTGCCTAGTTATCCTTGTATTTAATCCAGCTTTACTATTTACCCAGAATCAGCGTCTCCTAAATTAAAAAAAAGAACGCATCAAAGTCTAGATTAACAGAGGTTTCGTATGTTAATTGTATATGTTCGATTACAAAAAGAGTTAGTTTTTTATATCAGTTTTGTGGAAGCCGATCAAGTTTGTGCAGTTGCAACGTAGTTTTGATGCCATGTTGCATGTTAGTTTTATGTTTCAACTTCAAGGCGTTCTTGTGTTAAAGATAGAAGAAATTTTTGAAATAAGAACACTTGTGACTCCTGAATGTCCTGATGCAGGTCATTGTGTGCGAGTAATGGTTATAATTATATGCTGTAAATATTCAGGTTCTCGCCAGGGGGGAGAATTCTTTAGTAGCAGCTGGCGACTGATGACCACGAACTGGGCCCACAGCAGACATTTAATTAGGCGCCAGTGGTCGACCCACTCTCTGAATTCAGTCCAAACATAAATAAATAATTATATATATATATATATATATATATATATATATATATATATATATATATATATATATATTTATATATACTGATTTATTTATTCCCAGGTGCTTCACCAACCTTTGTGAGACGTTTAACTGTAAATCTTTATTTCTTTTGGTGTTGTCAATTAGCAGCTGATATATGTGCTGTCCTTGACTTACATCATGTAGTGGTAAGGGCAATATGCCGTTGGCAGGTGTGGTTAACAGGTGCAAGCATTAGATGTAACCAACAGGCGTTACTGTGACAATGCAGAGTGCCTAACAGGTGTAACTAACAGAAGTAGCAAACAGATATGTTTACAACAAATTTAACTAACGAATATGTATTACCAACAGGTGTGTCAGCTGGTGAAGTTCCCGTGCAGGTGGGCAAATCAGGGGTGCCCGGAGTACCACCGGCCCAGGGCCAAGCTGGACCACGAACACTTCTGTGTGTACCGTCCCGTCCACTGCCACCACGGGCCTAAGGGCTGCCCCAAGGTCCTTATCCTTCGCGACATGTCCCAACATCTCAACCAATGCGACTTTAAGGACAAGTGATCGCCGTGGCTGTGGTCATTCCTTGTCGTCGTTGTGTCTAGGTGTTTAAGGTTGTATATCGTCATCGCCTGTAGCTGATAATGTTGTGGCCACTTCACAGTACTGTACTCTAGTGTTACCACGCCATACTCGGTTTCATTTCATCTCGTTGTAAATTCGATATTCATTTTTTTTCAGTTTTTAAAAAATGTTTTCTGATAGTTTGTATGAGTTTTATTTACCCCCTCTAATACAACAACAATCACCCCCTTACGCACATAATTAATTCGGTGGGGTTAGAGTTTTAATGTTAGTTATTTATTTTGTCATTTCATTAATCAAGTTTGAGTTGAATAGCTCTAGTCATTGGGCGATTCCCTCCTCCCTCCACCACTTACCTTGACTGCTGAGACAAGGTCCACCTTGTGGGAGTACCACTCAGGTACACGCCGGGTGGATGATGTGGGTGGGATGGCCGCACCTAGCGGACTCTGCGTGGGGGTTGGCACTTGTAGTGGCACCCGGCCAGGGCACCTCATTGGGAGCTGGCCCCCGAGGTTAACAAGATATTTTGGAATCCAGTTTTTGTACATTAATCCATGACCCACTTGAGAGGTCATGACTCAGGCAACGACCTGCTGGTTACTTGTTGTTGTTGGTAGGACACGACGGCTCAGCCCTCGGCTCTGCCATCCTGGTGTCACCTTTTGTCTAGCACTAAGTCTTCATCAAATTGTTATTAATTATAAGAAATTTTGGTGGTTATATATATATATATATATATATATATATATATATATATATATATATATATATATATATATATATATATATATATATATATATATATATATATATATATATATATATATATATATATATAATTGTAGAGCATTAAATAGGTTATTATATTTATAAGTTATATTTGGTAAAATGGAAAAATAATGGAGGCAGGCCAGGATAAACTGCCAGTGGCGCCATGTACCTGTACAAGACGTCATGACTCAAAAGCCAATGCTGTTGGAGATGACTTATCATACTGTCATATTTTTGGAGGTTGACAGTCATCATCATATGGTTTGTCACGAGCATGACACCATTCAGTAGACTGTCTTCCTGAAACAACGGCCCACGGCGGTGAGGGGCTGTCCTACACGCCAAGCGCTCGCCGTCATGTCCTTCAAATTTGTAAATCCCTTCATATAAATTCCCAGTACCACAAGAGTGGACGGTGTTTAGTGAAGATTAATAAAGCGATTCTAATGTCAGTTTTGGTAGAATAAGCGATCAGTAGGTGTAAACTTACCTAGTCAGTCAAAAGACGAGTGTGTGGTTAATGGGTGTGTGTACCTTGTTACTCTTATGTACTGTACTGTACACCAGGAAGGCGATGAAAACAACTGTTGGTTCCTTACGATGATTTCATCTTTACCAGTATTATAGTTTTATTGATTTTGGTCTTCGCTGGAGGACTAAGAAAGAGGTATAAGGCACTATTTGATAAACCAAACACAACAGAGAAAACTGATGATGGCCGGAGTTGTGTTTTTTATTTTTCTCTTATGTATGTAAACATTTGAAATCCTGTGACACTCTGACGAATGTTTATTTATTGTTGTGATTCAATAAACAAAATAAAAACAAATTATATCATACGTTGAACCGACCAATGTTTACGTCGCTTTAGCATCGGTTAAGTTTGTTTCAGATAAACATACTACTCATGTATTTACAAACCTGTGACACCATTTTTAAATATTTCACCTGTAAAAAAAAGTAATATTAGTCTTGAATTCTACTTTAACCTAAAATAAAGCAGATAAGACAGAAATATTATCCGACAGTTATGCGAAGAAAAACAAAAGAAGCGCGCTCCTCTTTACCAGTGTGTATATGCAAAGTCCTCGAAAAAAAATGCCCAATTTTTAAAGGATTATATATTAAAATCTGGGTATTGTTTTTTGGTGACCCTGTATATTTATATTCCATATCAGGATTAAGGAACAAGTGACCATAATGGATTAATCTGGATATCGTTCCTTTGTTCTGTCTTTTATTATGAATCAAGACAATGGTATATGGTTCTTGTCATACCTGTATATGTAATGTTTTATTTTTTATTTCTCGCTTGTTTTTCCTCTTCTCTTTCTCTTATCTGTTGCTCGATTTTTCTTTCTCTTTCAGGGTCTCTCTCTCTCTCTCTCTCCTTCCTTCCTTCCTTCCTTCCTTCCTTGACGATGGTCCAGAGTGATAATTTATCTGTATAACAATTCAGAAAGCATCAATACTCTATGTTAACTCCCTTTTATTAACTCCCAATATAGTGAGACTTGCCATAGAGGTGTTGGCAAGCCTATCAGTACATTGTGTTAATATGCCTGTTTATTTCTAAGTTATCTTCAAGGTGGAAGAATGAGGAAATATTACAGAAAGAACACTCACTAAATGCTTCTTAACTTGTTAAAAGTTTTTGAATTTTAATGTAGAGGTTCTTAATTTGATTGGACAAATTCTGAAATTAAAAGATTCTTAATTTATATGTCAACTTCCTAAATATAAATCAAAAGTTTCGGAATTTGGATAAAAAGTCTTGGAATTTAAGGCTGGTTTATTAAGAGTTGTTTGGTCTGAACAAAATTAGATTCTCAAGGGTTCTCGCGATAATTTTTTTTCCCATTCCCATTAAGTAAGATCTGAAGATCGCATCTAACTTAAGACAGATTCACGGATCTACCTACCATCTTTATAGCTGATATGGGCCAATCAGGGGACGTTGTCTCATCCTTAATTACCCAATCAGAAAGGGGAGAATAACATCGCACATACCTTTGAGAATCTTACTTTGAGGACGACAGTGATGGCGAGGGTTGGTTGTTGTGGAGCTCCTACAATTATGACTTATATATCGTACAATGTTAAGCATATAATCATCTGTATATAAACATATATGTATATATAAATTGACACTTGCAGACACTTACATGTACAGCTGATGTTTATAAGTGTGTGTGTGGTGTGTGTGTGTGTGTGTGTGTGTGTGTGTGTGTGTGTGTCTGTGTGCGCGTGCGTGGGTACGTGCGTTTGGCCTGTGTGGTTGTGTATAATCGTACATGCATAAAAAACATACACATCATAAAATAATACCTATACACATATACCTTACAGTGTGTCCGTAATACAGATACAGCTTCATGTATTGGTCCTTGCAGAATGTATAGGTATACTTATGTATACTTGGAGATGTACTGTATATGTTGTCTTCGATATAATGAAGTTTACTGCTAAATCTGTAAATATCATGATAAATATGTTTACTGCGAGAAGTATATCTACACTACTACCAATATACATAAAGCGTATATTTCCAAGTATATATACAGTATATATAAATGTGTATACCTAAATATGTTTAAGTATACTCACAAGATATTTCTTCTGTCAAAATCTTCCTCGTGATGTATATAGCTGGCATATATACTCCTTCAACATTTTCTTAGTGTATATACAAATCCATAATACGGTTTATTACGTTAGAGATTGACTATATAGGAATGCTAGGCCCTATACCTCATTATGCATAAAACTCCGAGAAGTAGCCAGTGTCAAAGGTTCGAGTTTATGTTATTTTTGTAGAAATAAAACATTTTTCCCCAGTACCATTTAGTCTAATTGAATCCCTATGAACTAGTCCATCCTGCAATATGTATTTTGGATTTCTCTAAAGTTACATACTGCTTCATTCACTTGCTCCAGTCAAAACATACTCGGTGTTTTTGATGGGTCATTATTCTCCATGAAGTATGTCACATATCTACAAATATATGCAAACAAAAAGAGTATCCACATTCCACATTGTTATACGTATGAGCACAGGCCCTTCTGGGAGCGGCGACCGAGCGGCTATACTGTAGTGTGAGCCACCTGTCCTCCACATTGTTATACGTTCGATCAGCTGTGTATCTAAGCGGCGACCGAGCGGCTATACTGTAGTGTGAGCCACCTGTCCTAAGGAAAGCTGGTTCGATCAGCTGTCAATAAGTATCTAATTTTACAGTTGGGGAAGTGAAGACAGTCCATTGCAGTACTGGTCCTTCTGCCATTGAAAACCACTTTTTAATTTTCTTCATAAAGTGTATCCTAGATTTCAGCCAAAAACTATTCCTAGTGTGTGTGTGTGTCAGTAAATACTGGAAGATAGCTGCCAGCACTATCCTGCATTACAAGTTGAAAGTCTCTTGTCTACAACATGCACAAGCGTGTACAAAACATGAAGGAAGTCCACTAACTAGGTGTCAGAAGGTGTCACACGCCCCTAGTGGCTAGCTGACTCACTAATTAGGTGTCAGTAGGTGCCACACACCACTAGCGGTAGCTAACACACTAACTAGGTCATAAAATGTCCCCAAGCATCCCAGTGTGTCACTCCTCAGTTTATAGGTTCATCCACTTGTCAACAAGAGCGACAGGTGCACGTGATAGAGGGGCGGGGAGCACTGCGCGAGGAGACTCGACCTGAGTGTGGGCTGCGGTATAAAAGTGTATGTGATTCTTAGATCAAAGGAACACCAATCAATCAATCAATCAAAGGCGCCATCCTTTGTCTGAGGGTTGGTGACTGCGGCCCTACACTCCAAGTACATCAGAGTGTATATATATTTATCTCTCCTAGTCAGGTTTCTTCTGCCATGTCCTCTGCATACATTCAGATGCACATTTTGTATTCAAGGTTCTCAAAAATTTAGTGAAATAAACCTCTCTTCTAAACACCACACGACTCTGAGAAAGTCTTCACTGTTACTATAATCATGAATAACAGTTATGTTTGGTATTTAACTTCAGAATAATTGTTGATACTTGAATCTCTGTGAGAGAGATAAAAGTATCTTTGACGAGACGTATAACAGAGACGTCTGAGTCCGCTTGCATATTTTATTATACATATTACCTCGCCTCACTTGGCTCACAGTCTTCCCCCTCGAGGGATGAAGCCAAGGAGGTGTTAGTCCGACATAACGCTCTTATTACTTACGTAGTCTTACCGAATTCAATAACTTGCGGGTGAGCCGAGGCCAGGCACGACAACACACGTGGTGGTCACTGTACCACCACGAGCACACAGGCGATGAACTTAGCCAACTCCCTTAGTAGCCTTGCTGGTGCCTGGGTGCTGCAACTCACAGATGCCATGCTAAGAGACACTGTGCTATCAAGAAGTTCTGATCAATGCATAGTCTTAGGATGACTATTTAAACCCAAGCTTAACCAGGAAATTAATATATGAATTTGTGTTCTCGAAAGGTCTCTAGCAAAAATCCGAGACAAAGTGTGTCCATGACCGAGACCGACACTTAACCTCTCGAGACCAAGACCTGGAAAAAAGGTCTGGAAACTTACATCACTGGAACTAGTGAAAACTTGTCGACATAACTATTTTGAAAGTTGGTTTTTCTTTTATCCAGAAAGAAATAGCTTTGTGGGATTTTGTGAGGGCAAACAAGTCAGCAGCTTTAGGCAGCCCTCCTGGTGACACCAGAAGAGCGTGATCAAGGAGCCCGTGTATGAAGCCCTAAAGTAGAACACAACGTGGCTGCGGGATGTTTTCCTGAAGCCATGTCGACTCATCTTACATGCCCTTTGTATTTTCTGTGCGTGTCTTTATATATATATATATATATATATATATATATATATATATATATATATATATATATATATATATATATATATATATATATATATATATATATATATATATATATATATATATATATATATCCTTTTTTGTATGAGTGAATATATATCTTCTTGTGCAGCGCTGTAAAGACTTACGGTGAATTTTACCGGCGTGAAGCAAGTCTTGTGGTACAACGCCTGTGCTGTTGTATGTATTGTATTGAGTTCTCGTTTCTGTGTTCTGTCATCCAGCGGGAACTTTTCTGTTTTTCAAAATAATGTAGGCCGTGAAGGGTGATAGGCCTACTTGTGTAACATAAAGGAGGGAGGCTATGTCATGAAAAAAATGTAAACAACATAATATTTGAGACGTAACGCATCATTGTCCTCTACAAGAGAAAAATAAACGTGAAACTTAACACATGCTTCTAGAAATGTAGAAGGCTCTGATGGTTATAATGTTATTACTGTGTTCCAACAACTAAGTTCTTTGAACACGTAATAAGGTTAGCAATTAGTTTATAAAAATAATAGTATAAGAGATGTAACGTTCTGATTTTAGATGTCAATTGACGGCATTTAAGTCTCCCCAAAAAAATATGAGAGTCAATTTCAGAAAAAAATATAAATATATCAATCCGTCCCTCCAAAAACAAAAGCTTCTAAGATAAACAACAAGGTAACAAAATCATCCCTTCTCCATCAGTCACCATTCTCTTCGGGTATTCTGCCGTGTTGACAGTGCAATTTGTTTAACAACTTGGCAAATGAGCGAACACTTAGCGTAAACAAACAACTTGGCACTGTCACCTCCATACACAATGTTACAATGACCCAGGACGAAAAAGGGGAGAAAATAAATTTAAATGACAAAGTTTAATGACAAAGTTTAGAAGATGTTTATATCCCAGAGAGAGAGAGAGAGAGAGAGAGAGAGAGAGAGAGAGAGAGAGAGAGAGTTTATGGGTAGATTGTGGAGTTTCAGAGGCGTGTTGACTGTGTTCGTGGCGTCCATTGACTTGTCCGTCTTATGTACTGTAAGTGTTGACTCATGAAGGGCTGGACGCGGTTTCTTGAGATTTGGGGAGGGACGCCTGGGATAAGTAGTTTCATAATAGGCAGTGGGATGGTCGACCTTATAAGTGAGATGGTCGTCTTTTGGTCGCCCACATAAGTAGAATGGTCGATCTATCAGTGGGTTGGTCGACCTTGTAAGTAAGATGGTTGACTCTATAAGTGAGATGGTCAACCATATAAGTGGTATGGGAGGTATCCGTCCCACTACATAATCCTATTAGACGTGACATACGCTGCTCGCTGACACACTACCCAGGCTTCCTCCCGCACCAGCCTGGCTTCCTACACCTTACTGTTCTCCATTAACCCATTATAATAGACGCACTGCCATCCCTATTTCCATTAGAAAAACACTTCCCGTCCATTAGGTACCCATTATAAAAAAAAGCCCACTGTCCGTCCAACAGGCAACTATTAAAAATCACTGCCATGCATTTACACATCATTAGGAAAAGAAAAAAGTCATCTCGAGAAATTACGCTCCCCTTAAGACTGAAACTAACGATGCCATGTAAGTTTAAACATTACTTAAGCGTACAACATTTCACATCGGTAAGATACACTATAGTACTGATCATCTTATCTCCGATTGAAGTGAATTTTTAGTTTCTGATGTAAGTCTCTTCGTCAGTAGTAAGCGCCATGTTTGTTTACACAAGTGTCGTGGCAGGCGGAGCTATATACCCTTACCTTCTGGGGATCCGTCAGTTGGTCTATAACAAGCGACTTTGCGGTTTATTTAGGGTTTCTGTCAACTGTTAAAATCAAGCAAGTTAAAGCGCCACATAGCAACACCAGTTTGACCTATTAAATGTGACCCAGAGCTTATGGATTCCGGTGTTGACCAGAATGTTTGAGCACACACACACACTGGCGGGAAGGTTATTATTGCTTATTTTCTGGGTCACCCTCTACAAGTATCTAGAGATATTGCCTTAGAAATACAATCTTTACAATTTGTTACATGAGTCTTAAGTGTCAGTAGAACCTAAAACAATTGATACCGCTATAAAATAATGTCTCTGAGGAATAAATATACTGCAGTTACATAACCTAAACATCATCTCAAGGTTGTGGTTAAATCTTCCGTGATGTGGATGTGACACTAATACCTACAATAAATCAATATAGAAGTATATGTAATGAATGATTAATATTATCAGACCATAGCTTACAGCCCAGAGAATTACATCACATACAGTAACTGTACATGCGTGGTACCCTACATACCAGGTAGGCACACCTTGGGTCTGGACCCAAGGGACCTGACCTCGTCTGCTAATTACTTGAATTAGCAGGGGACTTGACCTACACCCACACCTCCAAGACACACCTGGGCATGCCCACGGGGCATTCGTCATTGTTATTCGGATGATTGTCATTCTCTCACTCTGGTCATTCTGATTCTCCCGTCCGGGTCGTCATTCTGTTCACTCGCAGAGTCACGCTCGTCCCCTCCCCAGGTCGGGAGGGAGACCCCGGCGTCACCAGCTAAGCAGAGTCTGCCATAGGAGGCAGCCCAGCCAGCACCCACTGGGCCTCCGTCAGGTCAAATGTGAGTCTTGTCAGAACTATCCCTAGGGTGAGTTACCTACTGTGGGAAGTGTATTCCTTTCATGTTTGTGTCCGAGTCAGTGTCGAGTAATGTAAAACATAATGTGTTAGTACCCCGATATAATAATGATATTAATGTGTCCATGTCATTGAGTGAATCAATAAATAGTTGTATCGAAGTGGTGTTTAACAAGTTGTTCCTTAAGAACGTACTACGTGATACGTAATATATGTGTATTGACATATGAGATAAGATAAGTGTATTGACACAGTGTAAATATCGAACCGGCCACGCTACCAAACTTTCCTCTCTTTACATCCTCCTACTGTAAATATTCTACCTATATATGTAATATCCTCCTCTGGTGAGTTTTGTCTTACTATATATACATGTATATATGAGGGCATGTGTATGTGTTTTTAATGACACATACACACATATATATTTATATACACATCCAGAGCGAGTACACAGTCAGGTATATGTATACACGACCAAACATCAAAGTGGAACAACAACAAAAAATTGCCCATCATCCGTGTTTTTCTCAAGAGTAGCGAGAGTTGGTGCCAAAAGATGACTCCTCTCTCTCTCTCTGTCACGAGTCTTAGCCTTCCTTTTCTTCTTCACGGTTTTTATTCTCCTTCTCCTACAATGGTTATACTCTCTCTGAGCCTCTCCCATAGTAACCTCTCACATTCTCTCCCATGGTAGTCAATCTTCTTCCTTCTTTCCCATGGTAGGTTAATCTTTCTTCCCAATATAGTATTAACTCTTTTTCCCCCTTCTTACTCCCTTTTATACCTACTCTCCTTTCTCTCAGTCCGTCTCCCATGGTACTTTCACTCAGTGCCTCTCCCACAGTACAGTACTTCCTCTTAGTCCCTCTCCCATAGTACTTCCTCTCAGTCCCTCCCCCACAGTACTTCCTCTCAGTCCCTCCCCCACAGTACTTCCTCTCAGTCCTTCTCCCATAGTACTTCTTCTCAGTCCCTCCCCACAGTGTCTTCCCATCTTCCCTCAGTCCTTGTCCCATAGTACTTCCTCTCAGTCCCTCTCCCCACAGTACTTCCTCTCAGTCCCTCTCCCCATAGTACTTCCTCTCAGTCCCTCCAGAACAGTACTTCCTTTCAGTCCCTCTCCCAGTACTTCCTTTCAGTCCCTCCCCACAGTACTTCCTCTCAGTCCCTCTCCACAGTGCTTCCTCTCAGCTCTTCTCCCATAGTACTTCCTTTCAGTCCCTCTCCCATAGTACTTCCTCTCAGTCCCTCCCCCACAGTACTTCCTCTCAGTCCCTCCCCGAACAGCTTCCTCTCAGTCCCTCCCCCAGAGTACTTCCTCTCAGTCCCTTTCCCCCACTCTCTCAGTCCTCCCCATATTACTTCCTCTCAGTCCCTCTCCCATAGTACTTCCTCTCAGTCTCTCCCCCACAGTACTTCCTCTCAGTCTCTCCCCCACAGTACTTCCTCTCAGTCCCTCCCCCACAGTACTTCCTTTCAGTCCCTCTCCCATGGTAGTTCCTCTGTCTCACCCTCTCCCATGCTACCTGGGAGGTCAGCAAATGCTCCCCAGGCTGTTCCCACAGTTTAGACTACCCGAGAGAGTCTGCATCAATATTATCGGCCATAGTTGTAAACATCTGCCTGAGCTCTGCTGGGGGTCAGGGGTGCCCTTACAAGATGGTGTGGGGGGGGGGGTTTATTTGCTTTTTTGAGTGAGTGTGTGGATTTAAAAGAATATGTATGTATGTATGTATGTATGTATGTATGTATGTATGTATGTATGATAAGAGAAGGAAAGTGAGGACAAAGAGTAGGACGAAGACAAGGAAGAGGAACAGGGAGGGGGATGAAGAAGAGGAAAAAGGAGGGGGATAAGGAAGAGGAAAGGAGAGGAGGAAAAGAAGTAAAGAGAGTTGGGGGCAACACTACACAACTTTCTGTACCACTGACACTCATACTGACGCTCACACTGCGGCTCACACTCACACTGAGGTTCACACTGACGCTCACACTGCGGCTCACACTGACGCTCACACTCACACTGAGGTTCACACTGACGCTCACACTCACACTGAGGTTCACACTGACGCTCACACTCACACTGAGGTTCACACTGACGCTCACACTCACACTGAGGTTCACACTGACGCACACTGACGCTCACACTCACACTGAGGTTCACACTCACACTGAGGTTCACACTGACGCTCACATCTGGTTGTACTGCTACTACTACTACTAATAGTAATAATAATAATAACCTAACTTAAACTTATATAACCTAACCTAACCGAACTTAACCTAACCGAACTTAACCTAACCTAACCTAACCGAACTTAACCTAACCTAATCAAGTCTAATCTAAATTAACTTAAGCTAAGGTAACATACATACCCTTAAGCTTAGCCTAGCCTAGTTTAACCTAAAGTAACCTAACGACCTAATCTCCTGGATAAGTAAAACAGGAATTATCATACATCTGGATATTCTGGATACCCGGTACGAATAATTAGTTAAATGAAAAATAGCGATGCACTCTATCCATAGACTTGGATAACATAAAACATGGTATTTTGTTGTATCTTGATAACTTAATAACGTGTTATATTGCACCTGGATAATCTACAGTAGACATATGTTATCCTGCACCTGGATAACTTAATCACGTGTTATATTGCACCTGGATAATCTACAGTAGACATATGTTATCCTGCACCTGGATAACTTAATCACGTGTTATATTGCACCTGGACAATTTACAGTAGACACATGTTATCCTGCACCTGGATAACTTAATCACGTGTTATATTGCACCTGGACAATTTACAGTAGACACATGTTATCCTGCACCTGGATAACCCAATCACGTGTTATATTGCACCTGGACAATTTACAGTAGACATATGTTATCCTACAACCTGGATAACTTAATCACATGTTATATTGCACCTGGACAATTTACAGTAGACATATGTTATCCTGCACCTGGATAACTTAATCACATGTTATACTGCACCTGGATAATCTACACACAACACCCCAACAGACGCGATACGCGCGGCTGGGACAATTAACTCTTTTTAGCAAGTTTTACCTAAGATTCATAACATTTATTCTGTGTTTTGTTGATAAAAGTAAGAAGATTGTTAGCGTCTACTGGTGGCACACATCCACACATTGTCTTAATATATAACATTCCTTCCATACTGAGTGTTATGTAATAAATGAAGAGTGTGTTTCATAAAGTTTTGATCAGGTGACCGTCAGTACCTAGCGGTGGACCCTAGCACTTCAACATCACGCTTTTCTTACTTAATAATGTCTCCAACATTTTTCTTAATATCTGTATTACCAGTGTGTGTGTGTGTGTGTGTGTGTGTGCGCGCGTGTGTGTGTGTGTGTCAAGGGAAATAGGAATATCCGCGAAATATTGATAATTATAATATATCTTTCTGTTTTCGAGAATGTAAACTGTTCTATCTAATCTAGGATAATCATGCAGATAATAGTAATAATATAAACAAATGAATTGGTATCATAACTCAACTAACCTAACCTGTGTATAGTTTGATTAGGTTAGGGTAATAAACGATGCCTTAAATGATCGAAAAAAATTACCATACATGAATAAATCTGGAGGAAGTTCCATCAATAAAAACAAAATATAAATGATCTGTTTGGTAAATATGTCAGTTGCGCTTCAAGGCTTAATTGGGTGATTATACCTATTTACCATGACCCATATGTGTGTAAGTAATCATTATATATAAACACACACACACACGCACACACACACACCTGAGTGACATTGTTTTGACAGGTAGGAAGCAAGAGTATCCCAGATCAGAGGGAGACACCACAAGAATCAAGCCATCCAAACACACCTTCACCAGTCACAACACACATCTTGATAAATCCCTCCCTTTCTCCCTCCCTCCCTCTTTTCTTCCTTCGTCTCTCCCTCCTCATTTTTATTCATTTGCAAACACCCTCCTTTCCACTCTTTCTCCTCCGATAAACACCTATACTCCCTTCCATTCTCCCTCTCTCTCTCTTCCTCCTCCCTTTTGATCACTTCTCAGGCACATTCCAAAAAAACTTATCATGACGGCTCACCACAGCCCAGGGAGCACACCTTTAATATGTCCCATATACACAGTATTTAAAAATTCATAAGTGACATTGACCTAAATACTTCTCTTAATATAACGTGATGTGGCTGCCTGCTTGAAAATGTGGATATATTAGTATTATTTCAATCAGTTGCTGTATAGTGTATAATGTATGGATTGGTGTATGTCCAGGTATGTCCAGGTACAGTCAGGGTCAAAAGTTTACGTGAAATAGCCTCCCGCCACTCAGTGTTTTTGAAGAGTTTGTTTACACTCGAGGCTAGACTAAGGTAAACAGAGTGCCGTATTGTTGCAAATTAACCTTCAAAGCATGTTTTTTTTTTTACTCTCGGTGGTACTATCGGGTCATCTGTTTTACCTCCTTACTGTGGCGAAAACTATCACTATTGCCTATTGGTAGAAGGATGGTAGATGGGAGGTACTGGTTTGTGTGATAAAGATGGTAGTGATGGACCTGATGGAAATGAATGAAGAAATGAATGAATGAATGACAGTCAATGAATGAATATCTATGTAGTTCTTCAAGTAAAATTTATTGAGAAGTTTACTTTTTGGGTCATCTGATTGGTTGAGAGGATTATCTTTGCCACCTGATTGGTTGAGAGGATTATCTTTGCCACCTGATTGGTTGAGAGGATTATCTTTGGCATCTGATTGGTTGAGAGGATTATCTTTGTCATCTGATTGGTTGAGTGTTTACTTTGTTTTGCTTCATTTTCTTCTCTCAGCTCATCATATTTTCCTTCATCATCATCATCATCATCATCACTGAACCATAAATCAACAATTTTCTACTGGAGACTATAACCTCCCCTCCTTCCTTCCTCTCTTTCCCCTCCATCTTCTCATCCCCTTCTTTGCCCCCATACACCACCGTCTCCCCTCTCCCTCCTCTGCTTGGTGCCAGGGAGAGGATATCACAGCCCTCACTCTCCTTACTCTTTCACTCTCCCCTCATTCACTCCTTCACTCTCCATCCCTTACTCTTCCACTCCTTCACTCTCCCTTCATTCACTCCTTCACTCTCCCTCCCTCACTCTTTCATTCCTCCTCCTCACGATCCTTCACTCACTCCTTCATTCTCTGTCTTTTCATTCTCAATCTCTCCCCACTTCTCCACAGTCTTCCTCCCTCTACTCCCTCAGTCTTCCTCACTCCTACACGATACTCCTCCTCATTGGTCTCGCTTTCTTTCACCGTTATCTCTCTCACTCATAAATATTAATGACCCATCAGAGGCTTCTTAATTGATTCTCTCTCTTGCTCACTTTTGCTTTCGCTATCTCTCTCCCCCTCTCCTTCATCTCTTTTCTCATTACATCCTCTTCCACTTGCTCTTCCCATCCATTTCATCGTAATCTTTCTCTCCCTCATTGACACTCCTTTCTTTCCCTTACTCTCTCTCATCTTCACCTCCTTTCTCTCTCCCTCGCCTGCTTTCTCCTTCACTCTTTCCCACACCCCTCTCACTCCCTCACCCTCACCCCCTCTCACTCCCTTACCCTTCTTCTAAATCATTCTCTCCCTCACCCCCCTCTCACTCCCTTACCCTTCTTCTAAATCATTCTCTCCCTCACCTTCTATCTCTCCTGTGCCATCTCTCACTCCCTCACCCTCAGACTCTCTCCCTCACCCTCACTCTCACCTCTCTCCCTCTGGCGTGATGGGGGTGACAGTTGGTCGGGCGCCAGAAGTTCATCATGGTCATAGGGACTATCTTTACTATGTACAGTAGGATACCTTGGGTGGGGCGACCGAGTCCATCCTCCTTGTGAGTGTGAACTGCGTATGACACTAGGGAGAGAGAGAGAGAGAGAGAGAGTGCGTGTGTGTGTGGTACAGGTAATGTTAGGGTAAGGTACGTTAGGCTAGATTAGGTTAGGTTAAGGTAGGTTAGGTTAGGTCAGGAGGTTGACACTGGCGAGAGGTATGGAGGCTGGCGAATCAGATTTCAGATTTGGCCCCGTGCAGTGCGAGGGCTAGTTTATTGAACACCCCTTTACAATGTGTGCAATGTTTCGCCTTCTGAATGACATCAATGTTGACCTTTGACCTAGGGGGGGGGGGTGATAGGAGGTTTAGTACTTTAGATGGTCCGAATGTTGCTTTGTCTTAGTGTTAGGGGTGTCTTTAATTTTCTTTAACTGTTATATCTGTATTTTTTTTGGCTTCTCTTTATTTGTATTTATTCCTTCTCTTTGGTTTTGCTTATCTTCCCTTTTATCCTCTTTCTGATCTTTCTCTTCCTCTGTCACATTATAACCTTCATCAGTTCCATGTCTTCTCCCTGCCCTTCTCTCTCGTTCTTTGTTTTATTAATTTGTCTCTCACAACATCTCTGTCTCTCTCTTCCCCCTTTTCTCTCAATACTTTTATCTTTTCTCTCCTCACTTACTTATAAGGTATCATAAACTAGTTGATCTGACACCATATAATCTTAACTTGTTCCGGTCCCTCGCGTACGTCAGGAATAGGTTTCAACTCGTGACGTCAATGCACCTTAAGGTTTACAGGTGAACCATTTATATTATAAGGATCACCATACGAAGCACCGTTTAAAGCGCTTTTATTGTTCAACGAGGTACATTTATATCATCTTTGTAACTTTTTTTTTCAAGATAAATTTATTTGTTGATAATTTGTTGGGTATATTAGAAAAAAATAATGTACTCGAAGTCCCAGTCGCTGTCAAAGGCTTAGACAACGTATAGACTCCAAAAGTTCCGTCCACTAATCCTTTTTATAAGTTTGTTTACATCGCGCTAGGGAACAAAAGACGATCGCCTAGGTCCGCCTTGTAGGATCAACACCGCTTTATCTCAGCACCAAGAAGCAACAGGTCGTCTCTATTTTTAACCCGTGTTACTTTTTTCCCACTCCCTTTGTTTACGTCCTAAAGTATTCTCGTCGAAATGGTAAAAGAAAGTGAAATACGAGGGCGTATTAAAAAGGTTTGTGTTATTAACGTGAAATAAGTTGAGGATCACCTGAAGATTAGCCCCTCAGCTTATTTCATCTTAAAATTAACCACATTAATACTAATCTAACCTAACCCTCAGAAAGTATTAGGGTAAGTTAATCATCAGGTGAAATAAGCATGGGGGTTCATTTCACGCCTGTCTGTACAAGTTACCAACAAGATATGTAATTTTTATCTACTTAACGCTACTCTCACTTGTTAAGAGCGTTGTTTATTACCTTGTTATCAATTGTGATGAGGAGGTTGTTTGGTTCTGAACTCCAACACTGACCTCGATAATGACGCTGACATCGCTACTGACAATGATTTTACTATAGATACTGACTTCACTAGCAATGCTGACTTCTCTACCAACACTGACTTCACTATCAACTCTGATGTCACTACCAACACTGACTTCACTACCAACACTGATGTCACTACCAACACTGACTTCTCTATACCCAACACTGTACTCCTCAAATAACCGAGCTATATTTAGGGTGAGACAGCGACTGGGCGAAACTGGAACTACGCCCGAAGCCGGAGACTATGTTCATGACCCTCTGGCGTGTCCCTGACCTCTGCCCTCTGTGACCTCAATCATGAACCTCTTGTGACCTCAACCTTGAACCTCCTGTGACCTCAACCTTAAACTTTTTTGTGACCTCATACTTGGTTCTCTGTGACTTCAACCTTAGCCCTCTTTGACCTCAACCATGAACCTCTTGTGACTTCAACCTTGAACCTCCCGTGACCTCAACCTTAAACCTTTTGTGACCTCATACTTGGCCCTCTGTGACCTCAACCTTAAACCTCCCGTAACCTCAACCAAGGGCAAAATGTCGTCAAACATTATTATCATTTCGTTCCAGACGGTAACCCGACGAGTGTGCCAAGTTTTACGGAGATCAATTCATTATCTATGGAGGCGTTATGGTAGAAAATATACATACATAGAGACCCACCCGATATGTTTGTGATCTCTCTCTCTCTCTCTCTCTCTCTCTCTCTCCTGGAGGTGTGAGAGCGCATCTGACTGGTTCACCTAATCTGCAACACAAAGATGGAGGCTAAATAACGCCAAGACTCTACCCTAGAAGTATCGACTCTCTTCCTGAGATAAGAGGAAAAAAAATGATCACGGGAATCCCACTCCAATTCCTCTCTACTCTAGTTGTCTTTCCCTCTCATCTCTCTCATGTCTTTCCTCCCCTGTCTCCCTCTTCATCATTTCCCCACTATACCACATTATCTTTCCCTCACACTTCCTTATCTCCCATCCATCCTCTCTCTCCTTCACCTCCCTTCCTTCATTGTCTCTCACACCTCCCCCCACTAATCTCTCTTACCCCTCACTCCCTCTCACCTTGCTCCCTCTATCTCCCATCCCCCCTCTCTCCTACCTACTCACCTCCACTCCCTCTCCTCCGTTTTCATCTCACTCCCTGCGTCATCACATACTTCATAGCGATACAACAAGCATTTCAACTTAGGTAGGGAGAGAGAGTGAGTGAGAGAGAGAGAGAGACCTTGAGGTGATACGTGACTCCTGGGCCTGTCTAGAGTCCACCTCTCCATCACCACCCTGAGTCATCATCATCATAGTTTATATTGGTGACTTGACTTGGTGATTCGTATTGAACTTGGCAGTATTTTGATTCGGTTGTGTCTTGGTGATTCGGTCTGTCTAAGTGAGTGTGTATACTAATACTCCCTTGTCTTGGTGACTACTCTGGTGACTCCACTGTGTCCTGGTGACCTTCATACACCTCGTGACAGTGCCTTCATCTCTTTTTCTTTCTTTTTTTTGTATTTTATTTTATTTTTTGCCGGTAGAATGAGTACCCCTTTAAGTGTGTGTGTGTGTGGTAATCTAAATTAAGCTGGTGGGGGGATTTATCTACACGTGATCCAATAATTGTTGAAAGTTGCGGGTTTTTGCCTGTCACTCCCTCATTCTTGACCTATTCGTCCATGAACCTGTGAAAATATTCTATTTCACAAACCCTCTAAACAAAGTGAAGCAAAAGGATTAACAATTATTGGGTGTCGGTGTCTGATTTCTTTCTTTTTTGTCTTTGATTTTTTCTGCTTCTTGTATCTCTCTGTCTCGTTTCTCCAATTTATTTCACAAAAGGTGTAACAAAGCCTGTTTTTCTGGCCGCCTGTCGCTTGGCTGAGTCTTCAAAGGGCGAACAAAAACTTAAGCGAGGCGTCGGTGGTAAAAACTGCCGCTCGTCTGTTATGTGATGCGAACCTGACGCAGAGCTGACACGAACCTGTTGTCTTGTGAGTTAGACATCATCACCGCAGTACAGTAGTGGGGCGAGCGTGTCGGTCAGCCACAACTCAGCAGTCAAGTGAGGGTCCGACACCACTACCCTCACGACAACAGTTAAGCATTGAGAGAAGTGTTGAGGTAAACATATGGAGGACAGGTGTCAGGGGGGAGCAGGTGGGGAGGTTCTCAGCCACCCACTGTTGTGAGAGCGCAGGCTCGTAAACACAAGTTCTCTTACAGCTAAGCTAGGCTCTGATTCGCAAGGATTCGTAATTTTTTTTTCCTTTACGTGAATTGATGTAGGTTATAACCCATTAATCGTAGAGTCTCCGTGAAACTTCAAAGTCACTGAAATTATTATTATTATTATTATTATTTAAATTCAAATCTTTGTTTAATATACATCCATTGTGGGTTCCTAGGGCTAGAGGGTTGTCGGGTGTGTGGGGAAGTTTTTACTGGGAGTGTGACATCAGTAGTCCTTTATATTTAAGATATTAGACAAGGGAACGTGTTTCAACGAGTGACACAATCTTATCTATGTTGCCTGGGGTGACACGAGGTACAGGCAACAGCCAGGGAACTGACAACTGACACATTCACTCCTAAGAAACTTGATGACCAAGACAGGTGGAGAAACAGTAAAGAGTAGAGGAAAAAGAAGTACTAAATCCTGTGTTTTTTGTAAGGTGTCTGGGTGTTGTAAGCTGCTGTAAGTTAGAGTAATGTGGACAGCCGCTTACCTAATGAGAGGAGGGGAGGTAGAGTGAATATAGATGATTCCGGGCCATAGTTAGTGGTAAGTCATTGTTCTAGGAAAGTCTTTCTGTCATCGTCTAAAACCACTCTGCCTCACACACACTTCAGAGTAACCATCATTAGACACTATACTAACAAGAGCCATTTCAATGACTTGTGCACTAGTGGGCGTCACGTAGTAAGCTTCGTTCAAGACAAAATCGACAAACTTACGTATTACTGTACTGTATATAGAGAACATTACAGAAATGCAACACAGAAAAAAACCCACTTTTTATACGGGCACCAGAAACAACAAGTATCGAATCAAGTTCAATCTAGAGCAAAAATATTGTAACCAAAATAATTTAAATCTCTGATTATAATGTTTTAATGGTCAGTAATTTACAACATTTACAGAGTAGGTGTGCGTGTGTGTGTGTAATAATAATAATAATAATAATAAACGGTTTATTTATAGAGTTGCAGCCGGTGGCTGAAAATATATATATATATATATATATGTGTGTGTGTGTGTGTGTGTGTGTGTGTGTGTGTGTAGCGTTACCTCCTTCCTCTCTATAATCTCCTCGACTCTGAAAGTGTGAGGGTCTTGCTCTTTCACCTTTTCAATTGTTTACACGATCTAGTTCTCCATCATCACAGTACGTAAAGCACCACTCATCCCTCTCCTTCCTTCTATTCCTCTATCCCTCTTACTGTCCTCTCTAACCCGCTTCTCTACCCCTCTCACCATCATCCTCACTCCCTCCTCTACCCATCTCATCCCCACCCCCTTCTTACCACTCCTACCCTCCCAACCTATCATCCAGCTTTCTCTCCTCTCTTCCCTCTCGTTACCTTCCCCACCCCGTACTCCCCTTCCCATTTCCTCCATCCCCCGCCCCTCTCCCTCCCTGATGCTGCTGCCCCATCACCTGTCGTGCCATGATAAGGCTTTAAGACCTGTCTCCATTCCTATTGAGAAAACCAAGAGAAAAAAATGACATAAAAACACTTGATTAAAGAACAGAGATACAGTCAGACAGAGAGAGACATGGGAGAGAGAAAGAGAAGTGAAGGTTAAACTACAAAAAAAGACATAATGAAAAGTAAAGTTATATACAGTATGATACCAAATAAGAAGCACAGGAGAGTAGTAAGAGAAACACCATTTTGCCCCCAAATAATACGTACGATGTCTTTTACTAGTATTAATTAAATCTGCTCTGACAATGTTACAATGTTACTTCCTCCTCTACTAGGTAAGAGGTTCCATTAGTCTAGTGGTTCTGAATCTTTTGTGGTCTGTGTACCCCTTAGTCTAAGTGTGTGATAAGTATTCCCCTTATCAATGGTGTCTCAGTCACTATGTTTATCATGAGACATAATACATATGGCCTATTCTTTATACACGAAATATTCCTTTGACTCCACTAAATATATCTCACGTCTCCCTGATGAGGTTCCATTTACCCCCTGGTCTAGAACCCCTGCATTAATCTAAAGGGGTTTCATAAGTTTTGAGGGTTTCATTAGTTTCAAGGGTTCCATTAATTAAGAGGTTTCATTTGATCTCAGGGTTTCACTACAATGTTTAAGGTGGGTTCCATTAGTTTAAGGGGTTCCATTAGTTCAGGAAGTTCTCATTTGTTTAAGGGGGTTCCATTAGTTTAAGAGGTTCCATTAGTGAGAGGAGAGCATCAGTGAAGTCTCACGCTGAGTGCCGCCTCAAGATTAAGGGGAGGAGGAAGAAAGGGAGATAGAGGGAAAGGAAAAAGTAAGATGGAGAGGGTAGGGAGGAAGGAGGACGAGGAGGAAGGGAGATGGAGGAGGAAGGAAGAAGGAAGGGAGGTGGAGGGGGAAGGAAGAAGGAAGACAGAAGAGAAAGAAAGATGCAAGGGAAAGGATGAAGGAAAATGGAGGAGGAGGAAGGATGAAGGAAGGGAGGGGGGAAGGGAGATGAAAGAAAAAGCATGAAGGAAAATGGAGGAGGAGGAAGGATGAAGGAAAGTGAAGGAAGGAGGAGGAGGAAGGATGGAAAAAAGGAGGAAGGTAGAAGAGGGGAGAGAGGAAGGTATATTTACGGTGTTCTGAAAATGACTATGACTTGTAGAAAGTTCATGGAAATAGATGAAGTACGGGGAATGGAGGTGAATAAGAGAGAGAGAGAGAGAGAGAGAGAGAGAGAGAGAGAGAGAGAGAGAGAGGAAAATCTGATAATGTGGACAAAGGGCGTAAAATAATTCCTCATTTGTGTCTTGTCCTTGTCTTCCTCACCTGTATTTTGTCTTTCTCACCTTTGTCTTTTTGTCTTTACGTCTGTGTGTTTTTGTCTTCCTCATCTGTGGTCAGTTTCCCATCCCCAATTGTGGCACAGAATCCCTTCACAAAAAACACATCTATTTTTTTCTATTTCTTTGTTATGCACGGCCACGGTTTTTAAGATAGAGAACTGAAATAGGTTTTCTTGTGTAAATAGCCTTGGGAATTGTCGCGAACATAATATAGGAGGAACTAATAGCAAAAACTCGTGTTATTTTTAACATTGGGCTTAGCAGACGACAGTAAAACCCAAACACGCGATAACACAAGACACGTGATTTTATTAGGAAGATCGTATTGAAATGAATATATGTGAAAATTATTTATAAACTAAAACAAAACAAAACAATGAATAATGATAATTAGTTCTGAAAAAATAAATAAAAAACTGACATTAAAACAGTTACGTATATAAGAGTTAAACTGTTGTGTTACTTGATAATCAATATCAATAGCGCGGGTCACGGGTGCAAGAAATCGAGCGAGACGACCGCCTTAGGGCACAGCGCAGGGGCAGGGATTTGATGGTATGGATCGTATTGCGTGTTTCTTCAAATAAATACACTGCAATTCTTTTGAAACACACTTCCACAAATTTTAGCATAGGGAACTGTAATTATTATATATTTTTTGGCATGTGCACTTTATTTTGGCCAAGGACGGTCAGAGGCAATGAGCTGTCACACATTCTTCTATAGTGTGTTTGTGCATGTGTGTATCTCGTGTTTATTTGGCCTCGTCCCTTTCTAACATAAAGAGCTGAAATTTGGTACGTTACATTAACTTTACTTCGTCAGAAACAAACCCGAGCAACACGGGGCACCCCAGCTAGTGACTAATAGTAATAAGTGTATGACGGTCTCAGGGGTGGTAAGCTAGGATGAAAGGTAGGCCGCGATAAGGTGGATTAAATCAGTACTTGAGGTGTTAGTTCTAAGAGTCTGTCAGAGGGGTGTGTCAAGGTACTAAAGGGGAGTCAAAATGTGTGTCGGTGTGTCAAAGGGGTGTTAGAGGAACGTGTAAGAGGTGTGACGGGGTTGTGTCAGGATATGTCAGAATGGTGTTTTAAAATGTGTTTGAGGATATGTCAAAGTGAGTCAGAGGGTGTGTACCCGGGTGTGAGAGAGAGGACACACAGTGAAGAAGATTCATCCCTACCTGACACTTACCGTTAATTAACTAAGGAATCATTCACAATTTAACCTAACTTAACCCAACTAAACCTCAACCCCCAGGTAAAGTTAGCGAGGTAAACCTTCAGGTGAAATAAACTATAGAGTCCACTGTTCAGGTGATCCACGGTATGTATCATTAATTACGTAAATAACACAGACACGGGCGAGATACAACTGAAGACTCGGAGGCAACGACGAGGCATCCATATTGCCTATCTGAAGACCCTATTGGTTACTGCTGGACCAGGGCCAAGCTGTCACGGCCATAGAGTGATCCTCAGGGTCACCCACCAAGTATGCGTGTTGTTATGTTGGCAGAGTGATCCTCAGGGCCACTCACTAAGCATGCGTGTTGTTATGTTGGCAGAGTGATCCTCAGGGTCACCCACCAAGCATGCGTGTTGTCATGGTGACAGAGTGATCCTCAGGGTCACCCACCAAGCATGCGTGTTGTTATGGTGACAGTGGTCGCCAGCAGCCTAATCATGTGCGAAACGTGCGATCACACACACAGCCAGCACGCTTAGGGGCCAGCAAAATTTTTAAGCAAAAAAAAAAAGCGCCCGTATATAATTACATGTGATATTTTGTTAGTTTGAAAGCGTAAAACACAAATTTATGAATATTCTCTGTGATTTCTGGGATTCTACTTTAGCATTTCATGGGCTGGATATTGCCAAAGAACAAAAAACTTGCTAAATTTTGCAAAATGTTGGTATGCTCAGACATACTAGACCAGATCATAGCATTTCCTGCGCCCAGGCCCCGGCCTGGCTTACGTCCTGCCCAGTGTCGGATTTAGACCTGTGGAGGCCCATGGACAGCCTCTTTGTGGAGGACCCCCTCATTATAACTACCCAAGAGGGTGGGGTGGCGAGTGAAGCGAGCCTAAACATCTGGGAGTTCCTGGGGGCGCTGTAAGCCCCCCGGGAAAATTTTGAAATTTGAACACTTCTTCGGATAATTTTGAAGCCATGATGGAATAGATAGACATGAATTTTAAAGAATGAAAATAAAAATAATCCAAATGAATAAACAAATAAATAAAATATTGTAATATGTGGAGGCCCCCAGATTGTGGAGGCCCCTGGGCAGCTGCCCACTTTGCCCACTCCTGAATCCGGCCCTGGTCTTGCTCGGTCCGTTGGCAGGCCGGGTCCGGGCCGGGGCCGGACCTCTTGGGGCTCACCTTGTGGTAGTGGTAGTAAAGGTTAAGCTTACTACACCTTGAATTATTGTTACTGTATTGTACAGTACACGACTTGAGGTAGTTTTCATAATTTCCGAGTGACCTTTTTGTTTGTTTTTATGTTAGTCCCGAGTCAACCAGAAATGACTTGCCTTTTAAAGGTATTTAATACAACAATTTCTCTTTTATATATGTAAGTTAGCGGTACAATTATTTGATAACAGCGTCACTGGTAGTGGTGGCGTGGCTTACACAACGTGGGGCATAGCTGCCATGTATCGCCATATTATTGAACCTAGTTTCTTGTCTGGTACTTTGTTTATGTATTATTTTACGTGTTGTGAGTCTTGCCACTGGCCTCTCAGGACTGCACTCATTCAATGCTGGAGGAATTATTTATCGCGAGAATGTTATTACTCTTTTGTGCTTGATGGACGGCGGGCTGTTGGTTCTGCATCGCCAGACACTTTCTGCGGCTTTATAATCTGGGTAAGTTTTCTCTTCATTTTTTTTTATTGGGCACTCTCCTACATCCTTGTGTAAGGTGAAGCGCAGAAGCGTTTACAGTGCCCAACAGGGAAGCATGCTAAGTTCATGCTTGCCTTTATGTCTCATTTTAGTGTCATTTGATCACTTTTCACGGTGTTTTATCCCGCAGTCTCCCTCATCTTTCATGCCCTGCCCACTATAGGTCATTTATGATCTTAGATAAAAACTAATAAAAAGCCACGTGTATTAAAATAATTATAAGAACATCTGTGGAAAAAGTGAACGAAATAGAACAACTCCTTCTGGTGTTAATCAGGAGTGCAGTTTATTTAAAGCAGATTATAATACAAATTCTGGTTCATGCTTGCTTGCACGTTTGAAATTGAATTCTAAGATAGTAGTTTGTAAGAGTGATACTGTTAAATACCCAGTTCACGTTTTGTATTTCATGATAAAATGAATGTTCACCATTCAGCTGAAGTTTTGAATTATTTGTTGAGGCAAATGCATTGACTTACAGTTCTTCAGAGAGGATATATATTATACTGTTGTGTAATGGTCAGCAAGCTCGCCTCGCAAGCTAGCGGACCGGGGTTCGATCCCCGGGCAGGGTGAAACTATGGGCAAATTTCTCTACGCCGTTTGCCTCTGTCCGCCCAGCAGTAATTGGTAACCTGGATGTTAATCGTTTTGCGGGTCGTATTCCGTGGTAAGGCCGGGCATCCATTTGTCCGTGATCCGTGGTTCGTGTCCGCGTCCGCATCCGTATCAGTATATCCGTGAGGTAAACACCCATATATCCTTGAAAACTACGCATCTGTGGTGTGCTTTTTTCCCAGAAAGTCACAGTAAGACAATATGTCCCGACGTCTGCGTCAAGAACTAGAAGAGTATGGCCACTTCCTTCTGATGGCCGGTATTATCCTTCACAGAGGCCATCACAATGCTAAAAAAAGAAAACATAGGTGGTGGGTCCATCAAAAGCGTAGTGAGCATGGTTCATACTACCACTTAGTGGAGGAATTGGAACTGGATGAGGAACAGTTTCAACATTACTTCAGACTGACAAGAGAGCAGTTTAAGCAAGTACTCTACCTTGTGGAAGAATTAGTGGTGAAAGTTTGCAAGACAAGGGAGGCAATATGCCCGAGGCAACAGCTAGCCATATGCCTGAGGCATGTATGCACACACTGACTGTTACAAATATAAGAAAACAACGATATCAAATAATCTTTATTGACCTAAAGAAAATGTTTCTTGAGTACCTTATATGGGTGCAGGCAATAGAAGATAAACTGCCCGGGTTTTGTCTGACCAGTTCTACCAAGGCCTCACTAACTTCTTGGTTGGTCAGTCTACTGGAGTCCTTGCGTTTGGGCATGGTGGATGCTGTGGAAAACTAATTATAAAATAGGTCTCGTGAGTTTACGTAGGTCACGTAGCCCCCACAACAGCTTCCGTGTTCCAGAGTTCCATACGTGTCCGTGAAAAGTCGCTCACTGCGCTATTCCTCGCGGACGCGGACACGGACACGGAACTGATCAATGGATGCTTCTCAACCTTTTCTCATATACTCGATTTTTCACTGACACGGATGCGTATGGGGACACGGACCACGGACAGACGGATGCCCGGCCTAATGGTTAACCACTGCAGTTGGAGAGTTGTCCGGTCTTCTTGGACTATTCCTTGAAACTGGGTCATGCAGCTCGTTAACTCAGGGTGTGGTTGATGTGTTGGCAACAGCCTCTACACCCTAAACAAATTCACGCCTTGGGCCGGCCATCCTCGTTACACGAGGGACAACCATTATGATTATTGTTACCGCAAGCGGTACTGAATATGAAGACACAAACAAACATTACGTTAGGTTGTAAGTCATGTCATGTATATTGGGTGTGCCTGCCCGTATACAGTATATATATAGTGTTGAGATGGAGCTAGATGAGAGACCCAGAGTAGGTTGAGGTGTTGGGTGGTGTAGAGGGATCTTGCTTGCGTATAATAAACCTGACGCAGCAAGTTTGAATAGCTGGCCTGGACATGTGAGTGCCCGGCAGGGCACTGCTTCCTCGCTGTAGCTATCCCCATCACACCACCAACACCTAACCTGTTTCTCCTGAAGTCTTTCAACACGTAAGTTTAACTTGTACTTATTGTGTACACAGGTAGACTGTGTCCATTGCATCGTTTATCATTGTGACGACATAAAAATATGACAAATTAAGTGCTCATTGTAAGTGTTAAGATTAGACTAATTACATAGCTATGATTGTTATGTGAATATATATTGGATTAAACATTTATGTATGATTGCCTATGTATGATGTATTTGAAATACTAAAATGAATTGTATTCAACAGGTTTGACCGAATTATAACGTTCGAGTTTGACATGACGAGTCTGAATATATATTCCTTTAACCGTCCTGATTGGTGGTTACAATTATTATTATACTGTATTATACTGTGCAATACTAAGTTTGCAAAATTGTATTATTGAGTCTTGTCTGTTAAGTGCTTACCACTTCCAGGAGGACACATTCACATGTTACTTTTCAACAATAAATTTGCTTCATTGAAACTTGTTAAATGTTATTAGGCACTTAATACTATTTAAAAAAAATTATGTTTTGAAAAACCTCTGTATTTTTCTAAAAAAATACACAGATTTTCTTCAGTGTTGCAGAAACAGTAATTTTACGTAAAAATAGATTTGAGGGGCCCGATGTCCTCATTTTTCAAAGGGTCCGGTCAGCCCTAAAGCCGCCGCTGCCAGGGCCACTCACCAAGCATGTATATTATGTTTACTGAGTGGTCGCCAGGGCCACTTACCGAGTATCATGCATGTTATGTTTACTGCGTAGTCGCCAGGGCCACTTACCGAGCATACGTGTTGTTATGCTCACTGAAAGGTTTCATATGTCACTCATGGCGGATATATTTTTAGGCCCAGTGAGTAGCAGCATTAGTCACCGAGTGGTTTACTGGGGCTCCTCATCAACATAATCTGTAATGTAATACCGACTAAGAGTTCTCTTGGGTCACTCACTTCTCATATAAGTTGTTACGTTATTTTAGTGGTCACTGAGTGTCATAAAGAAGAGTAATATGGTAGGGAGAGTTAGTGTGTAAATTAAAAGTGACAGGAGGACTTAATAAACAAGTAGGACTATCTACACTTATCTGTTTATATTGTAGCCGTTCTTGCAAGTAATTACACTCACTGAGCGGTCATGTAAGGTCACTCACTGCGCATGATTGTTGGTATTGTATGCTCACTGAGTGGCCACAGACTCACTGGGACTCCGGACACTAGTGGAGGTGTTTACTGTTTACACTTTACTTACAATTTAATCCACCACAGGAGTAGAGTTGTGCCACAAATGACGATGTGGCTTACAGGAGCAAACACATCCATCCTCTGAACGAGTTAAGCCTTTCCATTTATACACAGAGTAAATAAATAAATAAATAAATGTTATCACCACCGAGTCTACATATATAACCTGTTAATGTCCTGGGAAAAAAAATACACCACGAAGGTAATAGGACCTTATGAGAGACGTGTACAGTGAGTTAACTTACCTTTGTTTACCTGTTTGTAGTTACGATTGTCTCGTCCTTAACCCAAGAGGAGGAAGTTGTTCATTCACTTCTCTTCTCCAGTACGAGTATTTGGAGGCATAAATTAGCAGTCTTCCTTTCCCCTTTGAGAGATATATTGAGGACAAATTTAACAATAACTTGATATGAGTTTTTATCTTGAGTCAGCAGTACTGTTATTATTTTACCCTAGATTCGATTTCTACCTCGAAACATGAATTAAATGTTTATTAATTTATCTCAACAAATGCACGCCATCTTCTTTATTTCATAACTTAGCTGATTTTATCTCTTAATTTAGCTCAACAGAAGTAATATATCACCTCTACCTCTTAATTTAGCTGTGGGTTAGTTCCGTCGCCATAATTCAGACCGTCATCTAGTCAGACACCCGCCAGGTAGTGTGTGGGCTATAATTACCCCCTACCACACCTGGACCCCCCCCTTACCTTCCACCATACACCTGGAGTACCCCTCAACCTCCTACCACACCTGAAATACCCCCTAACGTCCTACCACACTTGAAGTACCCAGTGGGCCACAAGAGTGACCCTCCATCATCTCAGTGGGCCACATGGGTTCTAGATCAACGAATCAGATATTTGGTAAATTCAAAGAGAGAGATACAATCGACGTCTTCTCACAGTAATGAGACAGGTTCATTTAGTCCCACGAAGCTCCGACACCTACTTCCAGATGTTTTATGAATCAGTGTCATGAACGGCGACGGTCAGTATCGTTGCCGCTGTTGTCGTGTAAACAAGTGTATAAAGTGTCATCGTTGGTGAGGGAGTAGAAACTCAAGAGGTAAGTGGTGGTCAACACGGGTTGTATTTGTTGAATGTTAGTTGGTTCAATATGAGGACGTACTGTTGTGGGCCGCAGCTTACTCAACTGCTCTATAACATTACTGTACCTTATTCCCCTTCACTAAAATCTCTTACCAATCACTCAACGGAAAAACACAAATAATATTTCGCCAGGCCTTACTTGGCCGAATATATAGACATATTGTTATAGGTAAATGGGAAATAAACATATATGCTGACAGTGTGTTTACAATATGGCGTCTTGGCTTATGACAGTTTTTGTAGAAGTAAAGCGGGATGGAAGGTTAATCTGACTTTTTTTCCAGGAAGATGAAAGTTAACAGCTTCACGAGGGACCGTAACACACCACAACACATCACACTTCAGGTATGTCCAAGACAGTTTTATATACGAGTATCAGATATCGTTGTTTCATTTTGCTCGGGAGTCTTACGTCTCCACTAACTAAGTCGCCGTTATCTCCCGTGTAGAAGATCGGGATCACGTTTACTGTATAAAGTCACTCGGGAAGTTTTCCTGATCAGTGATGATTTAGATAGTGAATTCTGTAAATTATTAACTTTGAATTCCTTTACGCCATTATTACAAGATATTTGAAGTCATTCACCATCCCAGCGTCATGCATCCTGTTAGAACTGACATGTTGTCCAGTGTGTCTTATGATTACCGAAGATCAGGTCCAGAGTGTATCATAATGTACACAAGTTATTTTTCATTGTACTTTTCGCAATATGAGACTGAATCTGGTTTCGGTCAGATCTTGGTGATCCTTTACGGAACGAGGAGGGAGGAGAGGGGAGGTAATGAGGAGGGAGGGGAGGGAGAGGTAGAAACTGGCACCGTAAATCATAAGTGATGCCTTACCTGGTGTGCCCTGCAGAGTGCCAGCCGCAGGTGGTGACCGGGCAGGCAGTGCCTCTGTGGTGCCGGGGGAGGGGAGGTGAAGGTGTACCGGAGGGGGTGAAGGGTACCTGGGGAGAGAGGAGAAAAAGGGGTTGAAATGATACCCGGGGAGGAGCCAAGGGGAGGAGAATGGGGAGTAAGATATACATGAGGAAGTAAAAAGGTGCTGGGGTGGGGAGGGGTACTGAGAGGAGGTAGAGGGGAGGGGTGTTAGGGGCACTAATGGGGAGGGGAGGAACGAGTGAGATACAGCTGAGATAAGTTATGGATGAAGGGAGGGAGGGATGAAGGGAGGGTGGGAGGGAGGGAAGGAGGGAGAGAGATGTCGGAAGGAGGGGCACCAGAAGCCTTTGGAGGAGGTGGCGGTGGCTCTAATAAGGTGTAAGGTGAGAGTTGTTTGAGACAGCTGATGTTCTTCGTCGCTGAGAGAGAGAGAGAGAGAGAGAGAGAGAGAGAGAGAGAGAGAGAGAGACCTGAGGTAATGAACTAGGAAGAGGAACACATATTTAGTTACTGTAAAGTCTCAGAACAATTTCGACACTAAGTTGTTTTATAGTTTAGGGTCGGGTGTGATAGGAGGTCTAGCTGAGCCGAGTGCAGCTTTAGATCGTTTTCTGTGTTCTTCATTAATTTTAATTAATATAAGGAGGAAAACATTAAGTGATTAGAGGTAGTGGTGGCTAGTGGTGGTGGTAGGGAAGGGTAGTGGTGGTAGTGATTCGTCAGTGGTAGAGGGTAGTAGGGATGGTGGTGTAGAGAAAATTATCGCTAGTGGTGGAAATAACTTATAGAATCGTGGTGATGCTCTGGTAGTGAGATGGTTAGCGGTGCCAGTACGTACCCGCGGCAGCAACAGGAGCATTAGTTGCAACACTTCCTAGCGATATTCGTGGCTGGTGTGTCAGAGGGCGAGACGACAGGTGAAGCAGCAGAAGGTGTCGTCAACCAGCCAGCCGGCACCACTACCTCCCCCTAGGAGTTAAGCTCTGTGGGTCACGCTGAATACCCCACACACCATAAGAACATTAAAACATAAGAATAGTGGAAACTGCAGCGGACCTATTGGCACATACTGGGCAGTCCCGTTTGCACCCAACCCCTATAGCTCATATATCCATCCAACCTATGTCTGAAGCTATCCAGCGTATTCGGGTTAATGATGATGTTTGGTAACTTGTCCCATTTATCCACTACTCTTATTTCCAAACCAATGTTTACCTATCTTGCGCCTAAATCTAAATTTTTCTAATTTAAAACCATTGTTACGGGTTCGCTCATGTTTGGATAGTTTGAGTACCTTTGTTTTATCACCTTTGTTTAGCCCTGACTTCTAGATCATATCGCCCCTCACCCTACTTTAGTTCTTGGGCCAAATCCATATTATGGCTAATTCGCATCATCTCTGGGGACATAGGAAGATCTCTTTTATCTGAAGGTCCTCTGCTCATGGTTCACAAAAATGATGGAGGTCCACCTGGGAAATCCATCTTCATGCTATAGTGATGAAAGGCAAACTCGAAGAAAATAGATAAATTAACATAATTCAGTGACCAGAGAGGCTGTCAACGTGATTTCTTTTAATGTAAACCCATAGATTTGATGATGACCTTTATGGTGGGATACTTTTCGTGATCCTTAGAGGTCGAGGTCAAGCCTAAAAACTGGCAATTTGGGGGAGATTTCGATGGAATTATGTCTTCTAATTAACACAATTTCCTAGGTACACTCGACCTAAATGCATGTAAATAATGACTGAGTCTCTACCTAACTTAGGAATGTCTCAGTGTTATAACAACGTTGCTATATTAACAAATAAACTGGCACATGGTGAATAATACGTCAATACATAAAACACCACAACTCAGCAACAACAGACTGTGAACATAAGTGAACCCATATTTTTGAGGATGACTTTTCAAATATAATAACAAAAAATACACATTAACAATTGTTTTGACGATAACTCTTCATCAGTGTCATCATTATCAGGAACATCAAAAACATGTAAGTTGGTATAGTCTCGCAGTTGCCGGCATCAATTCAAGCTATGCCTTCAGTGGCACAGGCAAAGGAGGGTTTCGTACATTCTTTTTTTACAGTCTCTCACAATTATTTTCAATATATCTGCAGGGGCAGACATTATTTACATGCATTCAAGTCTAGTGTAGATATAAAATTGTGTTAATTAGAAGACATAATTACATCGAAATCTCCCCCAAATTGCCAGTTTTTAGGCTTGACCTCGACCTCTAAGGGTCACGAAAAGTATCCCACCATAAAGGTCATCATCAAATCTATGGGTTTACATTAAAAGAAATCACGTTGACAGCCTCTCTGGTCACTGAATTATGTTAATTTGTCTATTTTCTTCGAGTTTGCCTTTCATCACTATAGCATGAAGATGGATTTCCCAGGTGGACCTCCATAATTTTTTGTGAACCATGGGCAGAGGACCTTCAGATAAAAGAGATCTTCCTATGTCCCCAGAGATGATGCGAATTTCCACCCTGGCCTAGGGGCTATTTCGTTAGGTGGTGTCTGAGTGACGCCGAAACTCACCCATGAAGTCCAGCTGTACGACCAGCTGCAGAGGAGGCAGGTAACGATACCCTCAACCTCAGCTCCGCCACCACCTTCGTCAAGAGCTGAGACTTTTGGATTGTCCCGAGACCCAGACGTGCACTCATTATGAGGGCCAGAAAATCCAGACAACAGGTGAATTGGCAGCAGGTGTTAACGCTCGCGTTGCCCCCCTCCCCCCCACCTGCCAGGATTTAACTGTCTGGGTCATGCTGAGACGGCACCTTACAGAGGCCAGGTCATGCCGGGGTATATCAGTGTCTTCATCAACAACGCCACCTGTCACCTCACAATAACTGGTGATCTAATAATAACTCAAGTTCAAAGTGAGGTAACTAATGCCAGGTCTTCCCTGATAGAAAAGTTCATCAAAGCTTCCGGCTTAAATCACGTTTCGAACCAGATCAAGAATCGTAAATTAGGTCAAAGGTCATAAATGATTGGTCTTGGCGTCTTTTACTCCTAACTGAGATTTCTTTCCTTTATACACTATTGTAATTACTAACCTTATTACGCCCTTAAAGACCTTAGTTGTTGGTATGTAGTAATAACATCGTACCGTCAACTTTAACTTGGGGAATTAATAAACAAAATAAGGTATGGTAGAGTCTCAATCCAAGTTTGACGCCATTTTAACCATTATCTTTGTGCTGCAGCTCCAGTTCTCTCTTCACACATCTCCAGACTGAAGGAAAAATGATCACACAAACCTTTGACAATACAACTATGTGTGTCAGTTTAAGTGTGACAGATGAGTTCTCACACCTCTAGATAGAGAACGATCCTTCATCGATTTTCCTGAAGATTAGACACCCTAGCGTATTTCACGCGTTAATCAAACACCCTAACACTACCTAGAGGGTTAGGTTAGCATTTGTGGGTGTTTAATCAGCAGGTGAAATTATCTAGGCTGTTTAATCTTTAGGTGATCAGATTTATTGTATGAACCACTGAGAATCCAAGCCCTGAAGCAGGTCGTGGTTATTAAACAGGACAGTAGATTTTGCATATGGAGAAGGTGAGGGTTATGAAGCAAGCCGTGGGTCATGAAGCAAGCCGTGGGTCATGAAGCAAGCCGTGGGTCATGAAGCAAGCCGTGGGTCATAGGTTATGATGAAAATTAGGTTCATGGAGCACTCGACGTACTCATGAAACACTTTAAGGACTCATGACACACTTGAAGTGATCATGACACACTTGAAGTAGTCATGAAACACTCGAAGGTCTCATGAAATACTCGAAGGGCTCATGGCACACTTGAAGCAGTCATGAAACGCTCAAAGGACTCATGAAACACAATAAAATAAGTGAATTCTTAGCCTCAAAGAATAAAAAAGGATGAGACTTTACCTCAAAAACATACATTCATGTAACACAAGGGAGCAAAAGGTCACATTTCATCGCTATACAACCACTTGTTATAATTTTTTATTTTTTATTTATTGGACACCCCCCTACATCCTTGTGTAAGGTGAAGTGTAGATGCGTTGGCAGCGCCCAACAGGGAAGCATGCTAAGGTCATGCCTTGTGTCTCATGAGTTAAGGGCGCAGAAGCCTGAAGAGTCGAGGGCGTAGAAGCCTGAAGAGTCAAAGATTTATGTCTAAGCAAGTTATTGGAAGTTCCAACAACTTGTCCCTGAATACGAATTCTCAACTTTCGACTTACAGCAGGTACCTAATTTGCTGCTAGGTGAACAGAGACGAAGGGGACTAGGAAGAGTGTCCAAACAACTTCCGCCGGCCCGGGAATCGAACCCGTGACATCTTGCTTGCGAGGCAAGAACGGTAACCGCCCTACCACCAACTCCCCCACTTGTTATAATGTTGTTGGAAAGTCGCATCACCCAGATATTAGGCGCCACAGTTTATTTCGTCTTAAGAT